AATATGAGGCCTATTGTTAACCTTTGTCCATACCTCCTTGTAATATGAAACTACAGAAGACTGGAATCCTTAACTAACTGAAATTTGTTCCTTTGTTCAAATCCCAGTCCATGATAACATCATCATATTGGTAAGGTCCACATTTGTTGGAAACTTGAGTCTAATTAATAAAATAATTGCTATTGGATACTTTCCCAACCGGCATGGCTCAGTGGTTGAGTGTCCACCTATGAACCAGGAGGTCACGGTTTGACTCCTGGTCAGGGCACATGCCTGGGTTGCAAGCTCGATCCCCAATTGTGAGTGTGCAGGAGGCAGACAATCAATGATTCTTTCATCATTGATGTTTCTGTCTCTCTCTCTCCCTCTCCTTTCCTCTCTAAAATCAATAAAAATATTTTTTAAAAACGAGTGCTGGATTTTGTCTAATTGTTTTCAATGAAATAGGAAGGAAGGTTATCAGTTCATCTGGAGACAAGTGGATAAGTTGTTGAATGGTAATAGAGAAGGTATGGAACAGTGATGCAGACAGAGAGTATAAATGGATTACAAAACTGGCATAATAGCAGGCAATAGTCAAACCCACTAGAGTAATTTTTTATTCTTTTTAATATTTGTGATTCTTCTTTAAGTTAGAGCCTATTTTAATTAATGAAACTCTAGAATATATTTTGTTATTCAGCTGGGAAGTTCTATTAGCAGTTTTTTCCTCCTAAATTGTTTTAATATTACAACTGTGTTATTCCTGATGGTTATTTTATATAATGTAATTTAAATAAAAATCTGTTTGATACTCTTTGAGTTTAAGGCAGTTGAAGATTGGTGGGGTAAGAAATCACACTGTGAGAAGTGACGCTATTGGGATCACAGTGAAACATTCTTTTTCAATTTTTTCTTTTCAAGTGGTCCTTAGGAGAGTTATGTTATTTCAAACACTCCTACATATTTCTAGGTTATTTCTAGATATTTCATATTTTATTTCTATTAAGCAGAGAATACTGTTGTAAATAGTAATTTCCTATCCACGAATTTAATGGAATACTAATGTTTTCCCTCTCAAGTGACACTTCGTCTGAGACAACAAAAAATGAAATATTTTCTAGTCCCTTGTGACTCAATGTGTGTGTCTGAGGCAGTGTTTGAGTGCATGTATATGACTTGAATTTTATTAAAAGCTTTTCCAGACAATAAAGTTGACATATTACACAAGGTTTTTCTCTTATTGCCTGAGTTCCCCCCAACATTATTCTAATATTAAGTTGTTGGGAAAATATGAAAGAATGCTATTGTATGTACTTAGCTAAATTATAATTTCTTACTAAATTCTGATTTCAGCTAGGCCACATTAATGATATGTCTAAACTGACCTATGAGTTACAGCTATTGTTTTTCTTGATGGAATTGTATTATTATTGTTCTTGCTGTTGTAGGATTTATTTTTCCATTCACTTAAAACTGTCTAACTGAAAGCTACTTTGAGAAGACTAACAAAGGGCAGTCTGATCCCTGGCTCTAAAGAGACACCAGGCCTGCAGGGGATGCAGACAACATCCAGCCTCTCTCCCCAAGCTATTCTTCTTGAGTCTTTCATTCAGATGATGACTCCCCAGCAAAAGATTGAACTGCCCTTTCTCCACATTTCCCACACAGGTGCCCCTATAGACCTCCCAGCTCAGTCCAGGGATGTGGGCACACCACTACTCTCTCCCCAAGCCCTGTGGCCTCTCTCCTGGTCTGAGAAGCCCAAGACAATCACCTTTCCTTCTATGGAGGAAAACAACATTTTTCATCATCGTGAGGAGTGGGCTGAAGATCATTCAGATGACTCCAGAGGACCCACACTTCCGTCCCTGCTGCTCACTGCTCCCTCAGGATCTCCATGCCAGCCCTGGGTCACAAGAGCTGTGCACTTTTCCAGAAGCCAGACTTAGAGTTGAGCAAAGCGGCAAAACACTGCATATGCCTGCTGTGCATCACTGCTCCTTGGCTGTGGGCAACCAAGCACATGCTCTAGCCTCACCCTCACCCCACCAGCAATTTCAGAGGAATTACATGGAAGGCTGTGTGTTTTCCTGGACTGTTCAGGGGAGTGCAGGGAAAGCTGGTGGAGAAGCTACCTTTGCACAAGTTAGGGCTGCACCCATGTAGTGACCCAGGACCATGAAGGCCTCCTTTGGCAGAAAATTTCTTCAGGTACTGAACCTGTTTATTTTCATTGATAAAAACATTCATTGAACAGCAAGAGAGAGTTTATTCAAGGGGTCTACTACAGTAGGGTTTTGTAGCAGAGAGGAGATATTGGACTCAATTCCAAATACAGGAAAAAAAGTGGAAATATATGGGAAGTACTACAACAAACTAATACGTTATTTTTCTTATGGTAGTTAACTGCTAGATGCTTATAGGTTTCATTGGACTTTTGAGGGAAAAAATTATAAATAAATGTTGATTTATGACCAAAAGGGGGAAGTGTGGATGAAAAAAAGGCCACATGCTAACCTGACTAGCTCAGGGAAGGCCTGAATGGCAGTTTTGCAAACTCAAAGACCTAAAGTAACCACAAAGGATGGTATAAAATTAAAACTTTAAAAGCAGTTTAGAGTGGATAGTCATGTCCTAGACCAGTATCTTCCCTGACAAAGATCAGTCTTTACTTTAACCAGGCCTATTGTCTTTTTGCATCTAAGATAATATCCTTGTGAAATGTCAGGGTAACTTGTAACTTCCCTTTTTACAGGTCCATTAGGGCACAACCAAATGTGCCTGGACACCAGGACAGAGACCATAAATTCCTTCACTGTTGTTGTTATCATGTTAATTGTTGACTGTTAACTATCCTTCACCACTTAAGTAAAAGAAGTATGTATCTATTGTATTATTTTACTTTTTATCCAATCCCAGAGGTTCCCCCCACAGCCCCTTTTTGCTTTCTCCTGCCTTCCTCATCTATCACCAAGGGATTCCATGGAACCCATTTAGATCTCCTCCTCTGATTGTAATGTGTAAAACAAGGTGAAGATTGGCCATTCTCTGAGTCTGGAGCATTATCCCAATCTTTTGACATTCTGCTTCCCAGCAATTGTTGACAGTTTTGGCTCAAATAAACTCACAAAAATTCTTTAAAAATGTTAACAGCTTTAATATTATGTATTAATTCTTCCTCTTGTTATAGGCACCAGAAATGATGTTATCAGTACCCTGGGTCAGAGGGAGATGGCTGCCCACTCCTCTGTGCTTGTCATAAGAAAGATTTCAAGCAAGTGACACCAGACAGTAGCCTTATAGCAAAGCAAGCAGATTTATTAAGAAAGTAAGGCAGGCAAATTAATTGAAAACATAGTTGGCATGAAGGACAACTGGGCCACACAGCTAATCTGAGCACCTGTCCCATGGTGGTTCAAGAGGTTTTATACCCTCCTTCCTATAGAGTTCAAGGTTTCTCTGCCTGATACCTTGGGTACACATTTGGTTTCAAAGTCTGCCTTTTACTTTGTTGTGGCTTTTCTTGGGATGTTTGTACATATACCTGCTCATCTTGTTTGACAAGTCCTAAGAAGGCTGACTTATTTGTTCAATGGGTGAGGTAAAACTCCACTCTTCTTTTTGCTCAATTTTCCTTTTTTCCTGTCTTATCAGTTCTAGGAAGATTTAAGCAATGTATTTTCTGGTTAGGGAGGAGAGGTATTAACTATTTGCTCTCAAGTTGGGGAAGATAAGGTCTTGCTGCAAGCTGGCTGCAAGCTGCCCAAACTGTTAGGCCTTGTTTAATTTTCTTATCTCTTTCCCCATTCCACATGCCCAGGAATTTTCCTAGCTTCTTACTATCCTGTCACACTCTCGTAGAAGAGGAACTTAAGGCACTAAAATTTGTAATATAAATTGGGAAATAATTATTATATTTAGGTATTAAAATGCAACAAAATAAATAAAACCAATAATCTAAAAATGAAATAAAGTCAAACAAACTAAAACTCTCTAGCCCACATTTTTAAAAAGACCAGAAACCAGCCTAGGGAAAGATATCAGTTCTGAAAGGAAATATAATTACATCTATTCCTTTTTAGTTAGTTCTCCATCTCTAAGGGATCACTGTTCATTGCCTGTATTCTTATGAGGTCAAGCTCAGAAGTTTTCAATTCTAGATAAAAATCATAATCACCTGCAAATTATGTTTTTAAATGCCTATGTCAAAGTTGTATCTCAAATCTTATCTGGCAGAGGGCTCTGTCATCAATTTAATATCAAAAGATTCTCACAAGACAGTGATTTTCAACCTTTTTCATCTCATGGCAGACACAAACTAATTACTAAGATTCTGCAGCACATGGAAAGATATGTTTATTTTGACAACCTGACCAAAAAAAAAAAAAAAAGTAGTTATATCACAGCCAGTGTAGCTTAATGGTTGAGCATTGACCCATGAACCAGGAGGTCACAGTTTGATTCCTGATCAGGGCACGTGCTTAGGTTGCGAATTAGATTCCCAGTAGGGAGCATGCAGGAGGCAACTGATCAATGATGTTTCTCTCTCATTGATGCTTCGCTCTATCCTTCTCTCTTCCTCTCTCTCTAAAAATCAATAAAGCCCTGACTGGTTTGGCTCGGTGGATAGAACGTCAGCCTATGGACTGAGAGGTCCCAGATTCGATTCTGGTTAAGGACATGTACTTCGGTTATGGGCACATCCCCAGTAGAAGGTGTGCAGGAGGCAGCTGGTCGATGTTTCTCTCATTGATGTTTCTAACCCTCTATCCCTCTCCCTTCTCTGTAAAAAAAAATAAAATAAAAAAAAATCAATAAAATATTTTTAAAAATAAAAAATCAATAAAAACATGTTTAAAAATAGGTATAATTGTAATTCATTCACACTAAATATCTATTGTGTTGGCTGATGCCAGTGCTCCCGACTGAATAGTCAATGCCTCTGACTAAATGGTCAGGTATCAAAAGTTTTAAAAATTATTATTTTCCCCCATGGATATGGGTTTTATTTAGGGACTGTTGGGGGAAGACAGGGAAGAGCAAGCACTGGTGCACATATGGGGAGGAGGTACTTCTTAAACTTGCTTTTTAATTTAGTGCATGTTGCCTGGAGGTTAGGATATGTGAGAACAGCTGTAGAAGTAAGAGGAAATGTAAAGGTAAGGTTAAGGCAGGTACACTTCTTAGGGAAGAAAGCCAAGAGCAGGATATGGGGACTGGGGGCAGGGAGGGAAGGCATCATTCATATGCTGAGACTCAACTAAGGTCGCTGCTTGATGCCAGCTTCCCCAACCCTGCTGCCTCATCCCAGCTTCTGGCCCAGATGCCTGCCTGCTAGCTCCCTCAACTTCCTGTGGAGAGAAGGGGGAGAAGGATGTAGGAATCCTGGCACCCTCTGCCTCCAGGTCCCTTCCTAGGACAATTGCTCGTTCAGCATGCCCTGCAGGTCAGGAGGTCAAGAAGCCAGGATACAGGCAGGGGAACAATTGTGCCATTCACCACCTCCCTGCCACTCTGCCCCTCCCTATCTTCTCACATGAGGTTGCAACTCTTGGTTTCATCCTTCTGCATCTTCCCCAGTCAGACCATCTTGCCTACTCCTACCAGATCACTGCAGGCCCTGGAATGAGCCTGTTTGATTCGGCTGCCTATGGCCATGGCCAAGGGAGGTCACTTAGGCACACAGAAGCCATCCCTAAAGCAGCGCTCAGAGGACTGAGAGGAACACTCCATGCAGCACACAGCCCCCACCTGGCCAGCACAGTGCCCTGCTCATGTGTAACAGGATAATCCTCTGCTTGGACAGCTCCCTCAGTGTGGCCAGGTCATCTGCATATCCAGTTTACAGCCAACCAGCACAACCTTGGCATTGGGGCAAAACTCCTGAGTCTCCCTTTGCCACTTTCTAAGGATGCTGTCCAGCATTTCTGGTTGGCTAATGTCAAAGCAGATGAGCCCAGAATCTGAATCAGAGAAATGCCAGGGACCAGACGTTATCATAGTAGGAAGAACCCAAAGTGTCCCACATGTTGAACTCAGTGCATACTTGTCTATCTCAAAGCTTACTTACAGCGTAGTCTTCAAACCAGTAGGGACAAGAATCCCCTCCCCCCAGTAGATGTCCTTGCAAACACCTGCAACAGCATCATCTTGCCACACTTTGTGTCCCTCATCACCACAATCTTGCAGGGGCTACTCTGCCCATCCATGGTCCCTGCTATGTGTCATTACCCTCCTCCCAGGTCTCAGCTATAGCCACTCAGGCTGGCCACATTGGTATCTCATGGGCTTATGGAGTTCCCACCCAGAGAGAAGAACCCCTTCTGGCCCATCCCCAAACTCCTTAAAAATCTTGTGGCACACTGGCTCACATAAGTTGAAAATCTTTGCTATAGGAAGTCCAGTTGCAAAGTCAGGGTTAAAGAGTCCTGGCTGAGCACAATGCTGAGGGCTCCATGAAAGAAATGTTGGCTAATGGACTGTGTAGTCACAGAACAAACAGGTGTGATGAGGAATTTTGCACACAGGGATAGCACCGAACAGGAGAGCCCTGTACAGCATGCTGTGTCTTGAATACTGAGTCTTAAGGAAGCATCTGATATTTTCTAATATCGTTAACATTTATTATTAACGCTATTGTAGACTCCCTGCCAGGAATTTTAGCTTACTTTGTAGGCTTAGGAACAAATAATCAGCAGTGGAAATAACGTGTTTTATAACAATAGGGAAATGAAATTCAAAAGAGAATTAGTTCTTTTTTAGATCTAATGGTTTGCACAGTGGATGCTATTCCCTGTAACGTTTGATGTCCATGCTTCAAGAGAACAATCTAAGAAGGTTCAAAAACGATATCAAAGATTCAATATCAAAGTCAAATACAACTTTGGTTACTCTTACACAAATATAATGATACAAAATTATTTTCTGTTAAAGGCATAAACGATCAGCTCTTTACATAAAATGTTGAGTTTGATTTTGACATGATCTCATTAAATTTACATAATCAAACCAAGCATCTTCCAGGGTTAGCTTGGGGGAGAAGAGGTTTCAGGGTAGGTGAGTGTGAGCTTCCAGAACACCTTTTTACAGAGAGATTTCTTTAGTGCCATGCTCTGGCATTTTGATTCGGTGCCCTAACAAATAGCTGTTAAATAGCCTTGATAAATGTTTACAGATAGAGAGTCTTGTGGAAAGAAAGGATTCTGAGCTTGCCAGGTGCTGAGAGAAAGGAATTGCCTGGGCCGTGCAGCACTGACTTTTACAAGACGTTATCTTATTTGTTTCATCTACACAACACTGGCTTCAGCGTTCCCATTTTGCCAGGGAGGAAATTGAACACCTCACCCTTTAACTTAAACAGGGACACACTGCCAGAATGTCACACCACCAGGGTCTGTATCAGGCTTGTCCAGCTCCAAAGCTCAGCACCTTTCAGGACCACAGTTTAGTGAATCCGGTTCAGAGTGTGTTTCAGAAAGAAACTGCAGGAAATTGTAGATGAGGCTGCCATTAGAGCATCAGCAGAGAGAGGAGGGTTTCAGGGAACCTGGCTCCTTGTGAGTTAACGTCATGCCAGTGCGAAGCAGCCCTGAGTGAGAAATAAGCAGCCTCCAAAGTACCTTGGCCCTATCCTCAGCATTTCACAGCACACTGCTTTCTGGCCAAAGTAGGCTCGATGCTTGTTTTTATACAGCTGTCAGCTAAGAATGGTGTACTACGTATATAAAGGTTAAAAAAAAAAAACCCACAAGAATCTGAGACTAAGAATGGATGTTACCTACAAATTCTAAAATGTTGACCAACCAATGGACTAAATCCTTCCATACTTTTCAGAGGAGAAAAGAAAAATTTTCCGAAACCAGTTTGGCTCAATGATAGAGCGTCGGTCTGAGGACTGAAAGGTCCCAGGTTCGATTCCGGTCAAAGGCATGTACATTGGTTGGGGGCACATCCCCGACAGGGGGTGTGTAAGAGGCAGCTGGTCTGTGTTTCTCTCTCATCGATGTTTCTAGCTCTCTATCTCTCTCCCTTCCTCTCTGTAAAAAATCAATAAAATATATTAAAAGAAAAGAAAAGAAAGGAAAAATTTGCAGTAAGAAATGTGGTCAATTTGAGATCCTAGTCTAGATGATAGCTGACATCTTCTATTCTAAACAATGAGCTCATCCTCAGCTGGTGCTTGATAGTGCATGCATTCACTTTTTTCTAATCCTTTTTATTTCAAAAGAGGATTATGCATCTATAACTCAAACAACATAAAAAATGGATGAACAAAGATAAAAAGTGAAATTTGAAAGTAAAACAAAATACCATGGTATAGTAGTAATTATACTTCCAACCCTCCAAATTATTGATGTAATAAGGCTCATTTCCAGATTCTGGGAAATTGAATGATTGATATAAATGTTTCAGTAGATGTTAATGGCCCCCAATAATTTATATTGTCTAGAGAGGCATTTTATAGAGGATTACTATTAAAAATTATAAGTATATAAATATCATTTTAATATATATTTAATTCTGAGTTGGGTTTTAATTCTATAATATATATAATTAAAATAAAATTATCTTCTTTGATATCATGAAATACTGATTTTTGTCTCTCTGTTTCAAATTTTCTAGTTACATGTGACCACGTTTTGCTATAAAAGACTCTATTTTATTTATGAACAGATGAAAAATGAGACTGCCAATTGTAACAGATCTCTGAAACATGAGACTATGTAGGAAATGAGGAGGAAAAAGTGAATGTCTTGAAAATCATGGTATCAGCGGAAATAAGACTCATGGTTTTTTTTAGGGAGTTTCCCATGAGTTCTATTCCTCTTTTAGATATTTGAACAGGTGTAGAACACATTTCATCAATTTAACTATCAAAACCTTACATTGCAACAGAAAAACTTTCCAAATTCTCATGATAAAGCTTGTAATAGTGAATACAATAATGCTAAAAGTATTATGTACCCAGAAGTAATATAAATGATATCCAAACCTATTGTAAGTTTCAGTAAATCATATTCATCACCTAATTTTTCTTGAATATAAGAGAATTATGATTTTATTCTTCCCTACGGATGTTTTGCCAGTGTGTGATAGAAAAAAAATGCACTGAAATTTAAGAAAAAGGCATAAGGTAGTGAGGAAACTACAGAGAACAAATAACTGAATTAAATTACATTTAATACCATGAGTTAAAATGAATGGGAAGAAAGTAGACAAAATAGAGCTGTGTTATAAAATGAATTAAGAATAAAAGAAGGAATATCATTATTTACAGCAAGTCACTGCCAAGGTTATGTTACCATATATTATGAGTAGCTGTCAGTCAATTATCAGCATATTGTAAAGTCTTTGCACTACTTAAGTAAGTGCTATGTTGATGGAAAACATATGGCAAAAAAGATAACAACACACTTTAGGGAGATAAGCAAATTCTTGCTTTCAAATGTGAATGAAACCTGAAGTTCTAATGGATTTTTCAGCCTCATAGCTGGAAAGACCCTAGTAAAGACACAGCAAGGTCTGTACTGCAAGAGTCTCTCAGAGCTAATCCTATTCTCGGTTTCTTTAGCATTTTCATCTCTTGGTCACCTTTGCCAATATCAAAAGTTGTGAATGTTTGGACTCCTTAAAATTTAAATCCTAGCATGCATTCAATTTGATATATGTCCTAGAAGACTTGAATATTTTCAATGGTTTTGTTGCTTATTTATGTAGAGAGATAATAGTTATCCCTGAAGACAATTTATAAAAACAATGAAAAAATGCCTCCTAATCTCATCCATATATGTGTTTAAAAATGTGCATAGTCAGTGCCATAAAAAGCTCCCAAGTATTCTTTTGTTGTTTAAATGTGCACACCAAGAATCTAAGCGTTGTTCTGACATTAAATGCTCTCACATTAAATGGCTCACTCTCAAGAGGTATGGTTTTCAGATTTTCTTGAAAACTGACTTGATCCCCAAAATAACTTTCACTCATATTCTTCTGTGAAAGGTAAATTTGCTATTAGTTTCTCAAAATTAACTTTATTGCATTATAGAACAAATAAATATATCTATATACCTACCCTGTTTCCCTGAAAATAAGACAGTGTCTTATATTAATTTTTGCTCCCAAAGATGCGCTAGGTCTTATTTTCAGGGGATGTCTTATTTTTCCATGAAGAAGAATACGGTACACATTTATTGTTAAGTGAAAATAAAGGAAATTTATTACCTGTATATGGTACGGTAGTATGGTAGTTGTCAACACAAACCAGACAAACTGTGAATCCTACAGTATCAAGAATTTACTTATTTATTCAATGACAATCATATCATCATCTTCTGGAACATCATCATAACAATCCAATTCCTGAATTTCCTGGTGAATTTCTTGTGACTCCATTTCTTTCAGAATCAGTGGACCAAATCTCTCGTGTTTAGCTTAGGGGGGCCTTATTTTTGGGGGATGCTTTATATTTCACTCAGAAGGAAACCTGTAAGTAGGTCTTACTTTTGGAGTAGTAATGCAAACGTTATGGTACCATTCCTTCTAAGTTATCATTGTTCTGTTGCAATAGGAATTCTATTAATTCAGGTGAACAAACCAAAATGTTTCCACCAGTTCTCTCTAGTGCCAAAATTGCAGGGGACCCTATGACTTAGAACAGTGGTCGGCAAACTACGGCTTGCAAGCCACATGCGGCTCTTTGGCCCCTTGAGTGTGGCTCTTCCACAAAATACCATGGCCTGGGCGAGTCTATTTTGAAGAAGAGTCATTAGAAGAAGTTTAAGTTTAAAAAATTTGGCTCTCAAAAGAAATTTCAAACATTGTACTGTTGATATTTGGCTCTGTTGACTAATGAGTTTGCTGACCACTGACTTAGAAGGAAGCTAAAGGAGGCATTCCTTGTCCTCAAGAACATTCTATTTCTGTAGCTGAAACATAGAGCCAATTTATAATCAAATGTGGGGCCTCTTATTGCCCCGTATATACACCAGGAACTGATGATTACAATGTTACCAGTAAGGAAAAAATGGGGTGTGGGAGGGAGCAAGAGCGAAGCATGTTTATTTTTAAAAAAAAATCCAATTTCAGATTTCTGTGACCTACAAGCATCACTCTTCAGTTAGGCCCTTCAATTGCTACAGATACTTAGCATTTAATTCTCATATGAAATTAGAAACAAGGAATGTAAAGCAAGTCATTTTGGGCATATGGCCCTGGTGTTAGAACAGATCTGTGCATTAATAATACTCCTGGGTTACTCTTTAATGATGCTGCATTATGTAAAGTGTAGTTAGTAGCACACATTTAATTTACTCCTCCGAGATCTTACCGCCTTCTGTCACCATCATATATTTTGTGCCCCTGGTTAATTATTTTTATTCATTTAATGAACTCCTAAAGGATGGTTTGAGCTTTGAAAAACAACTGTTTGTCAAAAGAATTATGTATCCAGCTAAGAAAAAGCAAAGTATCAGACTAATTGAATGATTTCCTTAAGATTTAACAAACCTTTAGAAAACTAATAAATATTATACCAGGAATTGGGCCAGGAATTTTCACATACATTTTATAATTTTATTACAATGCCTTTCAGAGATAAATATTCTGTTACTTCTGTAAAGAAACCCAAACTCAGAGAGAGCTTTACTAGCCTAATCGGCGGAGTTGTCTGAACTCAATGACAAATCTTCAAGTTCAGTTCTTTTTTCATTTTTTAATAATAACAATAAATTTGGGGGAAAAATCACTGCAGTTTCTGCAAGCCTCACATCTTTAGAGAAAAGTTGTTTAAATTTCCCAGGGGGAGAAGAATGCTTTTTTTCTTGATTGTCTTTAAAACAGACAATAAAACACTAAGGAAACATTTTGTTCCATGACCTAATGAATATTTTATAGACTAAAACCTTCTCAGGTTGCAGAGTGCGTACCTAGAGAAACAGGGCCAAATGAGGCTCCTGAGGGCTGGGGGCCGGAGCTTGCAGTAAAATATGACAAGGTAAAATGGCGAGCCTTCAGTGACCATAGAGATGTCCTCCTCAGGGAAGGTGAGGGGTTGAGTTGCCATAGCTGGTCATATTACAAAACGAGCATCATTTGTCTAGCCACAATCATCACCCTGACATAGCTAGACCAGACCAGGGTCTCCCCACTCATGGGAAGTAAGCAGTAGTTGCAGATGAGAGATTTGCATCTTGTTTTCCCCAAGATACACCAGAAGGCTCTGCAGAGCTCCAAGGGAATTCAGAGAAAATGTGGATCTCTGTGAAACAGCCCTGGTGATATCACCCCATGATAGATCACAGCAACTGACAGAAATCATTAATCGCAGATGTTGCTACATACATGTCTCTGAGGATATAAGAAAGTAAGGATTTTCCAGAGCTGCCAGGTGATGTATACATTACCACGTGTTAAGTTTCTTCCCATATCCCAGTTCAAGGGCCTTCTTGTTGCTTCTTGGGCATCAGGCACAGTCTGCTCAGCAGGATTGACATGAACCCTCTCTGCTGAAATATGCTGTTGGCGTTAATGGATTTGTCCAATTCACTGCTGGAAAGAAACTAAAAAGCTGGTGAGAACTGTATTACTTTCAATTTTTAAAATGGCTTTTAGGTTCATGATAATAAATTTTGAAACCATAATTCATGTGTTTTTGTTTAAGCGTACAGTTCTAGTTTGTTTACTCTCTCATCTTAGTATAAAATACTGCTTTCATAATTCTAGACCCTTACCTGCCAACTTGAATTAAAGGCAATTTCCTTGTTAAATATTTTAAGAAAAACTTCTTTTTTCAAAAAGTACTAAACAGACCACAACCTTTTTGTTCACTTGTTTTTATAATGTTTACACAGTTGGATGAAAAACACACACACAAGAAATAAAGAGTATGTGTTTTTACTTATTCATTACTCTAAAGATTGCTATATGGAGAGTTTTAGTTCTTATAAATAGTGCTATTGTTAAAGCTCGTGAGAGGGTAATAGGGTGTAGTGGAATGGACAATGCACTAGCCTTGGATAATTTTAGATTAATTTTTATTACTCCTTGGCTATCAGCCTGAACATGTTAGTTAATCTATATTTAATGTTCTCATAAATGAGAATAATAAAACTTTTACTGCATTATTATATAATTGAGTTATATTTCACTTATTTCTAAAAAAAGAATATATAGCCCAGTTGGTGTTGCTCAGTGGTTGAGCATCAACCTATGAACCAGGAGGTCACTGTTCAATTCCAGGTCAGGGCACATGCCTGGATTGTGGACTTGATCCTCAGTGGGAGGCTTGCAGGAGGCAACCAATCAGTGATTTTCTCTAATTATTGATGTTTCTATCGCTCTCTCTCCCTCTCCCTTCCTCTCTGAAATCAATAAAAACATATTTTTAAAAAATAAAAAAGAATATGTGGAAATTTCATGATAATTATTTACATGGAAACTTTGATTATTTGTAAATCAGTACCAGTGCTAGTTAACAGGATAATTTATATCAAGTAATGAGAAGAACTTTAGCTTTAAAGTTGTTATAGGTTCAATGTAAGTAAATGCTATTCTGTGATTTTGCATTAACAGTAGTAGGGTGATGGGGAAAATGAGACATTTTTTTTTGGGCTAACAATCTGAATCTGTGCCAGAAACCTAGTGCACATTCTTGTTAGTCTAGTCACTGCCCCTTCTTTAATTATCTGGTCCTGGAAGACCTGTTTACCTAAGTACTAGTCCCATTTTACTGAGGCCATAAACCATGAATAATACACAACCTCCTGACAGAGTTATCAGTGCTGGCACCAGGCCAGGCCTTTAGGTGTGGTCTCACGGCCCCTATCCCAACACATGGGCTTTCTGCAAAGCCCGTGAAAGGTCCAGAAGACCCATCCCATATTTGGGGGACAAAGAACCCAAAGGGCATAAAGGGAAAGCTTCCTCCATATTGGCTTGCTCAGGATTTGGAGAGAAACAGTCTCCCCTGAGTCCTGTACCGGTACATAGAAAACCTCTGAAAATAAATGTTTTTTTTCGTGGTACCCCTGAGTATTTTTTGGTAGCCTGGTAAATTCTGTAACAAGAGTGAGATGAGGTTTATTTTCTCTAACCTCACATAGGAGACTATATCTTGTTATTATGCTTGGACATCACAAAAAGCGAAACAAGCACTCAAAAAGAAAAAAAGAAAAAAACCATCAAAACTAGTTTTTAACTTTTTTCGAGGCACTTTTGGATGTCTTATTTTAGCACATCTTTCATTCTGAGCAGAAATATTTAGTCACTTGGTTTAATTCTGTCCATTGGTGCCACCAGAGCCGATCTAGCCCCCTTTGCATGTAAATGACTCCTGGGTTTTCAGTGTCATCGCCCTTTTGGCAGCCTTCCTGTGAATACTCTGGCTTTCCACATCCACCTAAGCATGCTGGTTAGAACCGGGCACAACCTGCTACAGCTTTGTCTGGCTGTCTCCTCCAAGGTTCACTTAGGGCAGCTCAAGCTTCAAACAGATTTTCTTAGCAGCTAGAACCAACAATTCGCTCCTTCAGCTCGCATCCATCAAGTATTTAATGAATATCTACTGAGTGTAAGGCTCCGGTGTAGACAAACAGACATTGAACAAAGAGCTTATATAATTTAGTGAAATGTATTTAATGAAATCCCTTTATTCTTTTTCACAAAAGCTGTCATTAAACCATGATTTTCACTTGGAGATTATGATGAGTTTTGTTTGTGGTTTTTTTTTTTAACATGTGTAGGTCTTTAAATTTTTCCTTATTAAATTTTATCTTGTAAGATTTTATTTTATTTAAATATTCACTCAAAAATTGTATAGTCCCGTGAGGGATACAGACATGAATCATATGATTCAAATAATCATGCACACCTAGTTAAAATTTAAGCTGCAGTATAGTTCCTTTTAATAAAGTATCTATCCTTTAAAGATATATCCTTTAGAGGATTATTTGAGAGGGAGTGGGAATTGTCTCAACATAATAGGACTGGCGTTTGGGTGAGGACATGGTGAAATGAGGCTGCAATGAATTGCTCTTTACTCGATCGGGACAATGGGGACCCAAAGCTTCATTATCTTATTTTTTTTCTATTTGTGTATCTCTAATATTTGCTGTAATAAAGATTGGGAAATGTAGAAATATTCAACTCTTGACGAGTGGTAGAAAGAAGAGATACCCAATTTGATGACAGCATGTAATAGAGGGATTTGATCTAGCCAGGGAGGTCTAGAATGGCTTCTGACAGGAAGTGACAAATTAGAAGGATGAATGGGAGTCACATGACTTAGAGAATTAAATGCAAAAGATTCCAAAGCCCTGCTGTAGCAAGAGCAATACCAGGTCTGAAAGACGAAGAGAGCCAGTGTGTCTAGAGTAGGGGTGTCGAACTCAATCAGAGAAGGGGCCAAAATCTAAAATCCAGCCTAAATTGCGGGCCGAATGGTTTACTGAACAGTCATAAACTGTCATTGTGATGGAAACGCAGCGGAGTGCAGTGATGACAGCGCGGTGCGGGCCACATTGCAAGGCCTGGCGGGACGGATTTGGCCCACGGGCCTTGTGTTTGACACATGTGGTAGAGGGTTTGGTTGTGGCCCGGGGAAGCTGGATGGTAGATGCTGCTGAAGAATGAAGCAAGGGCTAGATAAGGAATGATCTTTGATCTTTGTCCTAATGGCAATAGGATGCTATTGAAGGATATTATGTGTGGAAGTGACAAAATCATATTAGCCTTTTGGAAAGATTTCTCTGGATGCTCTGTGAAGACTGATTGGCTGAAGGCTAGAATAATGTAGGTGCATTGCTTAGATGATCCCCAATTTCCCCAGAAAACATTTTTGTTATATTAGGACCCTAAAGCTTTAGCTGACTTTGGTTTAGAACAATGGTTTTTCAGCTGGTATGCTGTAATAATTTTTAAAACATGTAATACCTGACTATCAGTGAGGCACTAGACTCTTTCTCCTCGGATTGTCAAATAAAAATATGACAACAGCCAACACAATAGTTGTTTTCCAGTTTGAATGAATCAAAATTAAACCTATTGCTTTTGTCAGACCAGCAGCAATGTATTTTCTGGTGAGCAGCATAATTTTAGTAATTACTGTATGGGTGCCACGAGATGAAAAAGGTGGAAAAGCACCGGTTTAGACAAATTGCCTTTCCTGTGTATTTTACCACTTCTCTTTTCAGATTCCACAATTCTCTTCAGCTCTTCCACTGCCTTCCTGGGACAAGGCTCCTCATCACCTGTCTGAATAGGTAAAAGCCTGAACTCTCCAGCTGCATCTACTACCCAGAATAATTCTTTGCCCAGGACACCTAGCCTGCACTCATTCTTTTAAAAATGTATGTCCTATAGCTCTAGCTGGCTTGTCTCAGTGGATAAAGCGTCAGCCTATGGACTGAAGGGTCCTGGTTGGTCAAAGCACATGCCCGGATAGTGGGGGACAAGGCAGCCGATAGATGGTTCTCCCTCATCATTGATATTTCTATCTCTCTCCCTCTCCCTTACTCTCTGAAATCAATAAAAAATACCATATATATATATATATATATTCTACAAAGAATTTGGGGAATAGAAGCATAGAATATTTTGACTATTATATTTTAACTTGAAATGAATTTCACAGTTCCTAAATACGAATGGCAGGGCTACCAAATAAAACGCAGGTCATTCTATTACATTTGAAATTCAGATAATCAATGAATATATTTTTAGTATAAACATACCTTGAAAATTGGGACATACTTACATTAAAATATAGGATAAATTATTTAGTATATATTGCTATTAAAATTATTTTATCAGAATTTTAAATTTAACTAGCTCTCTTGTTGTTGTCTTAAATATAAATCTGGCAATCCTAGGGGATGGAACAGGAAAATGTCTACTAACACAAACCTGGAGCCGGAGTGACTATACCATTCATTTCAGAAGTGATGGAAAAACAATACTATAAACATAATTCCAAATATATAATAAGTTCAAATAGAATGTTACATTTACCAAATACAATATAATTGCTTGTTTTGAATATAAAAATATGCACTTTTAATAAGTGGACAATCAGTTTATACTTGTTCACATTAACAGAGATTGAGCAAATTATTCAAAGAAAATTGCTTTGAGGGAAGCCTGATTTGAATCTTACATCTGTAGGTCCATACCGTTCTTCAGAAAGCACCTCACTTGGACCATGCCTCATTCTGATTTCTTTCCTTGGTTCTTCCTCTGTTATCTTGTAAGACTTACAACATCCAATGATGAAGAGATGGGCAATATTAGTTTTCCAGCTGAAAAGAAATCACTTTACAAAAATTCATTGTAAAGTTACATAAAACTAATATCTGCTTGCCTTCTGCTTCCCCTTCCCTGGAGCTATTCCTCCATCTATGTTGTTTCTAAAATGATCTGGTGACATCACATTGAGAAGGGGATGGAAGCTGTGCAATTAAAAAGAAATTAAAAGGACATTCAATGCATTTTAATAAACTATATGATGTTTATGAATAAAATATTTAAATTGAACATAAAATTTTATGAATGTAGGATATTTTTAAAGCACTCTGTCTTAAGTCTGTTAAAAATAAAACACAGCAGAAATCGGTTTGGCTCAGTGGATAGAGCATCGGCCTGAGGACTGAAAGGTCCCAGGTTCGATTCCGGTCAAGGGCATGTACATTGGTTGTGGGCACATCCCTGATGGGGGGTGTTCAGGAGGCAGCTGGTTGATGATTCTCTCTCATTGATGTTTCTAACTCTCTATCCCTCTCTCTTCCTCTCTGTAAAAAATCAATAAAATATATTTTAAAAAATCAATAAATACAAAAAAATAAAACACAAACATGCCAGTCCTATTTTATAATAATTGTGAGAAAGAGCTTATATAATGTTTTTATGCAAACAGTCAAACAGCTGCTCTAATTACTCTGATTTTATAAGGAAATTATATATATATATATATATATATATATATATATATATATATATATAATTTTTG